GCTACATAGCCGGCCTGTTCAAGTCTCTAAATCTCTGCGTTGTAGACTTGGGCCGCCTCAGGGTTCTTCAACAGCCGCCTTTCTGTATTTCGAAGCTGAGGAAGTACTGCCTCCTTTGGTGGGCAGAGCTAAGGGGAGGTCCTAACGCGGAGGAGAGGAGTAGCATAGCGATGGACACCATCAACATCTACTCGCACCGTCTGTTTATCCAAGCATTCAAGGGCCTGCTTGTCCTGCCGTGACCTTGTACTGGCCTTTTCGCTGCGCCATGGGAGGACGTCCAGGTGCCAGTTTCTCGACATGCTGGTAGATGTCAGCTGGAGGTGCCCCGAAGGTGGTGAAAAGACAGAGTTGTTCGATAAGGTACTGCTTTAGAGTATTGGTCGGACCTTGCAGCGTCCATCCGAGACGGGTGCGGACAGCAACCGGTGCACCAGGGGGACCAAAGATGACTGGCTCAACTGGAGTCAACAAGTGAGGATGATCTGAGCCAATGAGCAATAGCGGGACAATGTCCTTGAATGAAGGAATATAAAGCTTCTTCAAATCTCTGTATTTGCTCTGCAGTGCTTTGAAGGGATACGTGTGCTGGCCTAGACCGAGCTTGGGTGCGGTAAAGGCTCCTTGGATGTTGTATACCATGGCTGGAGAACAGGCTGGAGAGATGCTAAATGAAGCGTTTGCAGCTCCTGTCTGACGGTACGCAGGGGCAAATCCTCGGGGTGGCCTTCAAGTCCCATTTGTTGGACAGCCGGTTGGAGGAGCAGGGTGCATTCAGAGCCGTCGTCTAGCACAGCGTATGTCTCCAGAGTCTGGTCACCATAGCGGAGGATAACTTTACTGACCTTAAGAAGCACACGATGGCCCTGCGGTGGCTTGCCAATGTATAGCACTTGGTCTGCACTTGGTACAGGCAAAGGTTTGCTCTCACTGGACTTCACCTGGTCAGGCCTTCTCTCAGCTTTGCCAGTCTTGTCTAGACTTCTCTCGCTGACATCGTGCAGAGCGAGCAGGTGTCTGCTCAGCTGTTGCATGTTTCACAGCACATCTTCAGATCACATTCAGCTGATCTATGTTCTCTGCCGCATCGCCAACATCAGTTGTTGTCCTGAATCCAGTTACGTTTCTGGGTGGCGCTGAGCAGTTTTAAATTTGCGCAACTATTCAGAGTGTGCTTGTAGTTCTCACAGAATGGCCAGAACTTCTTTGCATCTAGACTGGTTGGAGGAGTGGATTTGGCCAGCTCCCTAACCGATTTGGGTTCAGCCCCCAGCATGAGGACTGAGGCCCTAGGTGACGACTTGACAGTACGCTTAGAGTCTCTGGGCTTAGCTCCGGTGTCCTTTCTCAATCGATATTGTGCGATATCCTCCTGAATCTGGAGCTCGTATTCCAACCAATCTGCTAGGTCCAGAAGAGTAGGAATAGGAATTTGGAGAGGGTGGATGTAGCGCCTGAAACTGGACCTCAGGTCGTGTGGTAGCTTGCCCAGTAGACGGGTGACATGAGAACCACAGTCCAGCTCAACTTGCCCCTTTAAACCGAGTTGCTCCAACATGCTCACCAGGGATCTGACGTTCAGGGCGAACAACCTGAATGATTTGATGAATGTTGATCTGAATGTTGGGGCCATCCATCAGTTCAGCAATACGCTGAAGGGCGAGTTGGTGTGGCTGTCCGTACTGTTGGTTTAAAGCTGCCATAGTGTCAGTGAAGGGGTAATCAGAATTGCTGTAAGAATCTGCCACCAGCAATGCTTCCTCCAGCTTCAGATGATCCACTAATATCTGGAACTTGAAACGTTCAGTGGCATCTCTAGGAAGGAGATTGTCTAGGGCAATACGGAGTCTCGCAAAGTCTCTTGGGTTTGGACGGTTGAAGTTCGGGATTGTAGGAGTGGGCCCTCTGTATGTTCTTTCCTGTCCACCAGGGGGAGTCACTGAGCATCGGCGCCTGGGCTCGTGCCGAGGTGAAGGGGGACTACGTCTCTCACGCCGATCTGGAGAGTAGCTGCAGTGGCGTGCAGAAGAGTAGTCACCTCGGCATGATGGTTCTCTGTATTCTCTGAAGGAATAACAAGAATCTCTTGGTCTGGTGTGGCTCTCAGGTGAGCGGCGGTGACTGGATTGCTCATAATTACAATGAGAACTGTAGCGCCCTTCCCTGGGCTCATAGTTTCGTCGCGGGGCCTGGTGCTTGTTGCGTACTAGCTCGGCGGAGTGCTTAGGTGAGGGAGAGTCATACCTGGTTGATTCCCTGTAGTCCTTTGTCCTGTCCGAGGACCGTTGTGGTGGTGTCTCCCTGTCCCGGAAGTAGACTGATTTATACCGAGTTGAAGCAACTCCATGATCCAGCCCTTCTCGGTAAAGTCTATCTCTGGCCGTTACAGTACGTGGGCTCCGCTCTGGCTCTGAGCTGCTCGTTCTGTATTTTCAATTCCTCCATTAATGCTATGAGATCTTCCCTTTCACGCTCTAGTATGTGGCGCTCCCTTCTCCACTCATCCGCAGAAGGTTCCCATTTATCGGTATCTGACCGTCGTGCTGGGCTGTGGTGCAGCTGACCTTCTGGGGATGCAGAGCGTGATTTAGGTCTGCTGTGGTCCTCTTCGTCTTGCTGCTCTCTGGACTGTGACTCAGAAGACTTCTGGATTTGAGATCTGGACGGGAGATCAGACAAATCATAATCTTGCAAGTAGTTAGGGAGGGACCGCTGCCTCCTAGATCGTGCACTAGACTCTTTTTCCGAGGTGGTAGACATCTTGATCCGCTGCAGGCTCTGACACCGGCTTGAAGGACCACTTTGTGCAGAAGATGACTGGCTTCTTTGATTTAGATAGTTCGTGGATCGTTAAGTAGAGCTCACAGCGGGTGATCGGTCAGAATCACACAAGATTTCTTCATTGAAAGTATTTATTGAATTTAAAACTGCATGATTGAATATGTACATTGACGTGTGTGTGGTTCTGAAACAAATAGAAGGAATAAAACCAACATAATTAGTTGAATGCAAATGAATGCTTATGCAACAAACCTCTATTTGTATTAACTGTATCCTATTCTAATAATATAGCAAGAATAAAAATACAATAATATTTTAACATAACCGAAACTGGCATTAACAGAATGAAAAAGGCTGTTCTGTGGATCTAAACAACTACAACAGTAATAATGAGAAAGGATAAACCATTCGCAATACAATGGCTTCCTCTGCTGGTCACATAAATGACTAAACCAAGCCGCTCCGAGAGGTGTCACATGATGACCAGTGTATAAGCGGGAGGCGCGGCCCTATAACCGATTAACTGGATTGAATGCAAATATCACCACGATAGCTTACAAACTATGCACAGAAAGTGCTTAACTGGTATTTCACAATGTGTAACCAAAGAATAATGCCCGAGTGGCAACTTATACATCAATAGAAAGAAGCATCACGACACGAGGCCTAGCCGAGCAGGAAAGCCTGAGCTTACATTTAGCAACACTAAACAGACGAACCACTACCAATCTAACCTTTGCAATGACAGTAAAAGAACAACAAAATACAGATTCTTACTTGTAAAGACGCACACAGAATAAAGCAGTTGTATCAAGGTGGGTTATGAGTCGGTTAGCATACACTACTGCAAACGCCTCTGACAGAATACTACCCGCGCAGCGATCCTGAATCAACTTGTGATTGGCTAAGAGTCCAGGTGAAGCGAGGCGTCTTCCAGTAGGAGAGGGATAGTCACAGTAAAGTATCTGACGCTTAGCGGCCACAAGGGGGCCTTTTTTACAAGCAATGAAACAGAAAATAAAAATGAGATAAAAGCATATCTGGTTACGTTTATGAGTGTTATTATGGCATCCTGCAATGAAATATATTTAAGCCTATAATGATCACTAAATCATATATTTAGCCATTGTCCCTGGCATTCTTAAGTTTTGTGTCTCTTGTACTCCACAATCTGTCTGCTCACATAATAAACTCAATTTAAAATTTATATTTAATATCATATTCAATTAATATCATTTATAATATCAAATGAATATTTTGTATTTATTATTTTTCTATGTAGCCATGTAGTACAGTAATGTACGATCGTTATTGCAAAATAAACCCATTATTCAGAATCGTCACGTATTTTGCAACAAAAAAAATATATCACTGAATCACTGAAAAGAATCGACTCAAAAGAATGATTTGCAATTGCGTCTTGGAGCAGGTGTCGATTTCTTTACTTCGAAATAATGAGGAACGATATGTTTTAATGAAATGAATTTAATTATACAGTCAAAAATTATTGTTTGGAATGTAGTGAAGTGATACATACTGATAAAGTACAGATTCTTGAAAAATCTGTTTAAAAAAATAAGTCAGGAAGATCTTTGTGGCCCGGTTTCACAGGCAAGGCTTAGATTAAGCCAGGATAAGGCCTTAATTCAATTCAGACTTAAGTAGCTTTTATTAACGTGCCTTAGAAAAAAAATAATCTTGTGCATTTTGAGACAAAACAATGGTACTGACATATTTTAAGATATGTTAGTGCAAGTTGCTCTCAGTTCAGACAGCTCAAACATGCATTTTAGGCTTAAGCCTTGTCTGTGAAAACGGGCATACCAGTTGAATGGATGTGATGCGTGCGAATGTGTGCGATAGTTCTGGTCTGCTCGACATTTAAGAAGCGACAACCTTAATTATACCTACGATGTGGCAGATAAATTGCATGGATTATTAAAGCTATGTCATGGGTTGATTTAACTTCAGTCTGTTAAAAGAATCAAGGACCTCATTGTTATTCTTGACTACCCTGAGGCAGACCAGACAGGGTTTGCTTAGCATTTCTAAGCTTTAGGATCAAACGGTGTCTTTATGTGACAGGTTTGTCAGCAATGGGATGGAGATGTCACACTGTCAGTGGCACATCTTCAATACAGCTTTACAAATTCAGTAGCTACTTTGATGAAAAGATGAATAGATGTGAGCAGATGGATAGATCTCTCTTTCTCTACCAGGTGTATTGTCGCTTCTGGGAAACGGCATGCTGTTGTTTGTAGCCTACCGCAAGAGGTCATCTCTGAAGCCAGCAGAGTTTTTTGTCGTGAACTTGTCTGTGAGTGATCTAGGGATGACCTTGTCTCTGTTTCCTCTGGCCATTCCATCTGCTCTAGCACACAGGTGAGATCCTGCTTCACGCTTTACCAAAAATATTTGTTTATTGTAAAATATCAGAGATGACATTTATAAAAGTATTTATATTAAAATATATAAATGCACTCTGCCCATCTTTCTCATGTAGCGTTTAGAAGTAATTCCGAACAGGTTTGAAAATTAATTCATAAAGTGCACTGGTCAAATAAACGATTCAATGACTCGTTTGAACTTTTGAACCCATTCGTCTTTTCAAAGTGAAATAAAGTAAATGCTGCTATTTCATGTGTTTTATAATTTGGTGTTTGTAAGTTATATTTTATGATATTTTTTGTGTTTTTGGTGCCAGATAAAGGGTAAAAATATAGTTATACAAAAAGATATTGTTACCTTAATAAGTGTTAATGTAGTTAGCTAATCTTAGCTTGGAGTAGCTTGCTACTTTCTTGATTTCCGTACTGCGCTTCACTGCTTTCTCATTTCTCATTTATTTTTTTGCAAATGAATGCCTAAAACAGTTTGATGTACTTTTCAGATAAGTAATCATGGTTCTAAAGTACAATTAAAGATAAAAGTTATTTCAGAGTTCAGCAAAAACAGTAAAATTATCTCTCTCTTTTCTCTCTAGGTGGTTGTTTGGGGAGATAGTATGTCTGTGCTATGCTGTGTGCGGGGTTTTATTTGGCTTGTGCAGCCTAACAAACCTGACTGCTTTGTCATCAGTATGCTGCCTCAAAGTCTGCTGCCCAAATTACGGTATGCTGCTCTTTTGTTTTATTTCGTAGACATATTGTATTTCTTTAATTTGAATTCACTTTAAATAATGTTGCAGTACCTAATAAAGTCACCAGCCAACTGCTGAGTTACTTGTCAAAGCCAATTTTTATGCAATTTTGGTGCTTAGCAAATTGTTATTTGTGGTTCCTGCACTTTTATCTGAATCTTGAATTACTATATACTGTATGTCAGGGTACTGTAAATACGCATTTCTGGGCCTTAGATTAACATATTAAAGGGATAGTTCACCCCAAAATGAAAATTCTGTCAGTAATTCTGTCAGTAATTCATGTTGTTCCAACCCCGTAAGACTTTTGTTCATCTTCGGATCACAAATTAAGATATTTTTGATTTAAATCTGAGAGCTGGATCACTCCTCCATAGGCTTCTCAGGGATTGAAACTGTCACGATTAGCCACCCACTTCCTGGTTTTACTTGGACTACATTTCCCATCACACACCTTCCTGGACTGATTACACCAAACACCATACACCTGCACGGCACTGATTGCACACACACCTGCACTTGCACATGCTTCTCTGGAAGACACTGTGCTCATTGTGGGGTCCATGGCTGTTTTGTGTGTATGGGCAGCACACGCATCCGAAACAGCTCATGAACCCAGCACCAAGCCCTCTTCGCCGCTGGTTCCGTCCAGCACCAAGCCCTCTTCGCCGCTGGTCCACGTCACGTCTGCACAGCCACCGCCCTGGCCGCCCGAAGGGTCGTCACCGCCCTGGCCGCCCGAAGGGTCGTCACCTCCCTGGCCACCCGAAGGGTGTTCTCCGCCCTGGCCGCCCAAGGGTGTTCTCCGCCCTGGCCCCCCGAAGGGTCTTCTCCGCCCTGGCCGACCGAAGGGTCTTCTCCGCCCTGGCCGCCCGAAGGGTTTTCACTGCCTGGTCCACCCTGGCCGACCGAAGGGTCTTCTCCGCCCTGGCCGCCCGAAGGGTTTTCACTGCCTGGTCCACCCTGGCCATCTGAACTGCCTGCTCCGCCCTGGCCATCTGAACTGCCTGCTCCGCCCTGGTCGCCTACACAGCCGGCTCCGCCCACGCTCCACGACCCAGGTCCGCCCACGCTCCATGATGGGACCATTGCATGCCCTGGTCCCGTTCCCCTGCATGGACCTGGCCCTCCTTCCCTCCCCCAAGACCACCTCCGCTTCACCACCCTCCTGAACTCTTGTTTTGTTTTTTGTTTTGAGCGTCTGGAAGCTGCTCTTAAAGGGGGGGCTCTGTCACGATTAGCCACGCACTTCCTGGTTTTACTTGGACTACATTCCCATCATACACCTCCCTGGACTGATTACACCAAACACCATACACCTGCACGGCACTGATTGCACACACACCTGCACTTCATTTACACACACATATAAACAACTTCCAAACACCACTTCTCTGCGAAGTATTGCATTCCCCCGGCTTTCTATTGTCCTGATCTTTGTTCTCGTCTGCCTGTTTCCTGTGTTACTTACCTCTGCCTGGATACTGACTCCTGTCTACTCGCCGCCTGCCTCGACCATCGCCTGCTAACTATCCCTGGATTTCCTCTGATACTGCTGTTTGCCTCTGATCTTGATCTTTGCCTGTTTGACTCCGCTTTCTAATAAACACACTGCATTTGGATTCCCAAGACTCACGTGATTCATAACAGAAACTTGCCGGCCCAGAAAAGTTATTAAAGACATCGTTAAAATAGTCCAAGTGACTACAGTGCCTCAATCTTAAGTTTATCAAGTGACGAGAATACTTTTTGTGCGCAAAAAAACAAACAAAAAATGTTTTTTTTACGGACTATTTTAACTACGTCTTTAATAACTTTTCTGGGCCGGCAAGTTTCAATCCCTTAGAAGCCTATGGAGGAGTGATCCAGCTCTCAGATTTAAATAAAACATTTCTTAATTTGTGTTCCGAAGATGAACGAAAGTCTTACGGGGTTGGAACAACAGGGTGAGTAATTACTGACAGAATTTTCATTTTGGGGTGAACTATCCCTTTAACAATTAACATAGTCCAAAATGGCATTGTCCTCCTAAAAAGTCCCTGCTGAAAGATCCAGCTTAAATTCCATGTTGATCCTGGCTGGTTTATGCTGGTTAGAGCTGGTATAGTGCTGTTCTAAAACTGGTGGAGTGGGTCCACCAGCACTCCTGCTTCCCATGGGGACCAGCAAACATGCAAAACAGACCTTATACTGGTGATCAACAATGCTGGATCTTTTCTTTTCTGCTGGTGTGTTTTTGGGATCAAGTCTAATCTCACACAACAGAATCAGGTCTGAGTGTTTTGGACTGTTAGCGCCGTGTTCTGTCTGAAGATTCTGAAAACTGTCACACTCAGTTCACTGTGAAATAAAAAGGCCCTCTGGCTTAAATGTGCAGGTATGAGAGTTTAAAACAAATGGAAAGAGACACAGAAATGAAGAAAGATAAAAAAGAGGATAAGAAAGGACATGTGGAACAAAACAGAACATGTAGGGGAAAAGAGACAAAAGGAGAGACCGAGTGATAAAACAAATGAACCAAAGAAAGAAGTACAGTTAATGAGCACACATTTAGGGGTTGCTGGCGCTTGAAACACTGGGTAGGTTTTTCCTTCTTTCCCTGTGGGATATGAAATTAAAATAATTCCTACTGTTCAGCCCCGTGTCATGCAGGAGAATCAAACAGCCTGACCAATTAGTCACCTTGACCACTCACACCTTTTTTTTTGTAAAAATATTTATTCATGCAGTTCTCTGCATGTCTTCCCCAGGTAACAAGTTCTCATCCAACCATGCTTGTGTGATGGTTATTGGGGTTTGGTGCTATGCGTCTGTGTTTGCTGTGGGACCTTTGGTCCGCTGGGGAAGTTTTGCACCAGAACCATACGGAACCGCCTGCTGCATAAACTGGTATGAGACCAAACATTTTAGCATTAATATGTGAAACTAACGCAAACTGATTTTACAATGATGCCTTTTCCATGTTGTATGTTCCAAGGTACATTCCATCCCATGATGCTCTTGCTATGTCTTACATCATCAGTCTTTTTATCTTTTGTTACGTTGTCCCCTGTACCCTCATCATCCTATCTTACACCTTCATCCTGCTCAGAGTGAGGGGGTCTCGCCAAGCCGTTCAAAAGCATGTATCGCCAAAAACCAAAGAGACCAACGCACACACTCTTATTGTCAAGGTAAAGAGGGTTAATGGGATTTGATGGGTTTGTTTGTTGTCAGTTTTTATTGTTAATGCCAATAGTGACCTTCATGTGACAAAAAAAAAAGCTGTGATTAAATAAATGTGCACAAAAACATGTGTGGTGTCCACACTGTCTCACTGTGCAAATATACCGTATTTTATTGCCCTGTAGAGCAGACAGCAGGAACGTGATACTATTGCTGAGTATGTACTTAATGTCCCTCAAAAAGTAATGCTGATTACCAATCCTCTGTCCTCTGGACAAGGACTGGCTGTACCTTTAGCTGTCCCAGCCTAATTTTTCAAAACGGTATCATGCTTGAAGCCCTGGTAATTATGCTGGTGCTAAATGTTGAATATTGAGGGCAGAGAAATGTCCTCTCAAAACATTTGTGTAATGTAACGGGGTTCAGATGTTATGGGAAGAAGGAGGCGGGAACCGGCGAGCGTTCAACGATTTTAATAAATAAATAAATAAATACAAAAATGAAAGTATAAGCCAGCAGCCCCTTACGGACGACTGCTGGTCCCACAAAACAGAAACAAAACACAGCATAAAATCAGGCCTGTTCCTCTCTCAATCTTCACTGTCGTCACTCCTCCTTGATGCTTCCGCTCCTCCGTGAGAGATGCGAGACCGGTGCATCTCTTTTATTACAATTTGAATTTTTATTATTATTATTTTAATATATTTTAAAATAATGTATTTCTGTGGTCAAAGCTGAATTTTCAGCATCATTTCTCCAGTCTTCAGTGTGACATGATCCTTCAGAAATCATTCTCATTTCTCATTATAATCAATGTTTTATAAAAACATTTATTAGGATTCTTTGATGAATAGAAAGTTAAAAAAACAGCATTTATTTTAAATATAATCCTTTTGTAACATTATTGATGTTTTTACTGTCACCTTTGATCAATGTAATACATTCTTCCTAAAGTAGTGTGTATGAGAGAAAATATGGGTTACTGAGAACAAAATATGATCTTAAAATATTTAAAAACAAATCATTCTATTTAATTGCATGTCAACTAAGTGAATGTGTGTTTTCTTTCTAGCTCTCAGTGGCTGTGTGTATTGGGTTTCTTACGGCTTGGAGCCCATATGCGGTTGTTGCCATGTGGGCTGCGTTCAGTGCCAATAAGCCGGTCCCACCCACCGCCTTTGCGCTGGCAGCTATCCTGGCCAAATCCTCCACCATTTACAACCCTATGGTTTATCTTCTCTTCAAACCCAATTTTCGCAAAATCCTGTGTCAGGATACCCAAAACATCCGCCACAGGATGTGTGTGAGCCATAGTAAGGCCAGTCCTTCACCAGAAATAAAGGCCCAGAGCTCTCAACAATGCAACCAAAAGGATGCCACCATCTCCACACCCTTTTCCAGCGGCCAGGCAGAGAGTTACGGGGCATGTCATGTCTATGCAGAAGCAGAGCCACATTTTCAGCAAATAAGCCCACAGAGAACTGTTCGGATTCTGGAGGGAATCGTCCAGAGTGAAATATCAGTGAGACATCTGACTGACAGAATGCAAAACGACCTCCTGTGAGAGAAACTCAAGAAAGAAAGAAAATGCATGAAATGCAAGGAAGGAGAAGATGATGTGATGTGTAAAAATTGCAGATGTCCTAAGATGCCCAAACACAAGGACAAGGGAATCTGAGGGGAAGGAAAATCAAACTCTCACTGTTGTCTCCTGATTCTCATTGGTCCTCAGAACTTCCCACAAATTTCACCAATGTTTACTGAACCAAATCCACTTTTTTTTTTTTTTAAGTTGTAGAAAGCATATTTCACTAATGCCAGGTGTGGCAGTCAACATGCATTTTTAAATGTAAAACATGTTCTGTGAGACCAGCCTTCATTACTTGAACGAGCCTAAAAAACTATTTATCATTGTGTGAAAAATGCGTGTGAGTAAAGTTAAATAAATGATGTGGAGTAGGTTCAGTGTGTTATCGATTTAAAAAACAATTCAAGTTGAACTCACCAACTGAGTCTGACTCAATGGGTTTCAGTTTCATCCAGGGTTTACGGTAATATAAGCAAGGTCAGTTCATTGAATGAACAAAGACTGTCATCTGCTGGCTGAACAGGACTATAACAACTGAAAATATTCACAAAAACGGGTTGGTTTACATTGCTAAAGCATTGATAAAATTACACACGTTACACACAGTATTATCTCTCTTAGTTTAATTGTATCACAAACGAGCAACATTTTGTAGGCTAGTTTGTTTGCTCCCAGCTGAATGGCACACACGATTTCATTACAACAGTCTTTAGTCTGTATGGAAATGGAACTAAAATGCCAGTGGTTGGTGAGGTTGATGGGATGATCATGCTCCCAAACAAATGTACCTTTTTAATTTAGTGATCTGCTTTGTAGCTTGAGAGTATGGTGTAATGAGCATGTTATACCTATAGGGGTCACTACACCCCACCAAAAACAGAAGGAATCCGTAAACAGCTCAGTGAAATAGCTTTGAGGCACCCCATATTCAAAGAAAGCACACAAAAAGAGACAGAGTTTTTGGGAACTGACAGTTATATGCAAAGTCAAGAAAATCACTCCAAATTCTGACTTGTCCTAAACAACCGGTAAATGCTTAGTAGGAGAATTGTCATGAAAAAATCCAGGCTAAACTACCAGGTTCCAGGTTCACTGGCATCTGTTAACTCTATTTTTTCAATTAGCTCTGTCCTCAGGCCTTGACTGAGAGATACAATCCAATAGATAAAATCACACTAGTTATTTAAGCCATCTGGCATTTTTCTTGTGTTGAGTTCTGGAAACAGCTTAAAATTTAACTACAGTATTTACGGGCCTGCAGGTTTCAGTGGGGAGAATGAAATTAAGACCAGTTTTTAAAGCTTTAATACACCACTGTTATGAGGTGTGAATGTAAACACACACACACACATTTACATTTAGTCATTTAGCAGACGCTTTCATCCAAAGCAACTTACAACTGAGGATTAAACCAAGCGAGTCATCGTGAAGAGGCAAAAACAACGCAAGAAGTGCTCAAAATACAAAGTTCAGACATTGCTCGGAGTAGCATAACATAAGCCAGACAAGCGAGGATTTAAAGGAAAAGGAATTTGCTCATGGAAGAGATGAGTTTTCAGTTGTCTTTTGAATGCTGTCATGGATTCTGCATTCCGGACGAGGGTGGGCAGATCATTCCACCAGCATGGTACCGTGAATGAGAATGTTCTGGAGAGTGATTTTGAGGCTCTCTGTGATGGAGCCGTCGCTCATTGACCGATCGTAGGCTTCTGGTAGGGATGTAGACTTGTAGTAGTGAGTGGAAGTAGGAGGGAGCTGATCCTGTGGTCAATCTGTAAGCAAGTGCCAACACCTTGAACTTGATGCGAGCAGCGAGTGGTAGCCAGTGCAGAGAGATGAACAGAGGAGTGACGTGGGCCCTTTTGGGCTCGTTGAAGACCAGACGAGCTGCAGCATTCTGGATCATTTGTAGAGGTTTAGTTGCACACGATGGAAGTCCAGCCAGAAGAGCATTGCAGTAATCAAGCCTAGAAATGACCAGGGCCTGGACGAGAGTTGTGTTGCATGCTCAGTTAGGAAAGGCCTGATCTTCCTGATGTTGTGCATAGCAAACCTGCATGATCGAGCTGTCTTTGTAATGTGGTCTGTGAAGGTCACATGTACTCTTCATTTATGTTTAAATTATTTTGATAAGGAATAGGCCTACATACTGGGTGCATGAATGAAAAATAAAGAAAGAAAGAAAAGAAATAAAAGAATATTATACTGCATTATCCTGTTCCTCTGCTTAGGTGTGCCCCTGTTTAACTAGTTTACATTGTAGTGCCTGTCTGTGTGTTCATTTGTCTTACTTTAATGTTCTTATTTAATTTAGCTCAGAAAGGCCAGAGGGATCATTACACATAATGCATTTTAAAATGATTTACAACATGTCTAAGTCTTCTAGCACACCAATAGATTAACAAGGATAAACTAAATATGTTTATCAAGGCACATCATGAGACTTCATCATTTCTGCCTAATTAGGTCTCAGTGCATTTGTGTCTAAGGTTAAGATTATCTCGTACTCTTTCCCTTCCTTATACATTTCAGGGAATTCATGGCTGACAGATTAAGGGTGGGACAAAATACAGGTCTCTGGTCCAAATCAAAAGAAACTCAGATTCAGATATACATTGATCTCACCTTCCCTTGGATTTGGCCGAGCATATGTTTATTGACTGCCCATTCTTTCTCTTTGCCTTAACTCACACTGAACAGATGTGTGGTCATGGTCCAGCCAGCATCTGTCCTTGACTAGTCTCAAAACCTATAGTGTCATTGAGTTTTGATGAGATATATTTTGGTTCCAGATGTGGAAGAAAATGGTTGTGTGTTGTATTTCATGTCATTCTTATAATGATAATTCAACAAACAAATTGACTAAAAACTTAGACTAAAAACCATTGCTGCAGCTCAGCCTCAGCTGGTCATAGGGTCATCTCACATCTACAAGGAATCCACATACTGATGGAGTGAGGGATTCCAAAAACGTTATTGTTAGCTAAACCTTGTGACAAAAGTACCCCGCCTGAGATTTTTAGTTAATATTTAAATAATTTAACAACACATTTGCATGTTCACAGTTCTCTGGTGTAATGGTCACATAACAAAATACTTAATCTTATGAGTGTTTTATTTTGATATTTTTATTATATTTAACTGATGGCGCCAGTTGTGTTTGTATGCACCAGTTTTATTTACACTAGATGAGTGGACTGATAGCGTTGCCATGGTTGGTGCGATTGACCAATCAAAACTGAGTTTACATAGATTGAATGCGCAGTAATTTGCTTTTGGATTAAATTATGTCAAAGGGTTAAGCCGAAACAACTGTAGATATACAAGCTTTCCCTTTGTTTCTAGTTATATTCTTTTGTTGTAGTTGCCTACTGGTGTTTTGAAACTCGCACAGACAGCTGTCAGACCAGATCTGTCGAGACCTGTCTATTGTTTCTGAATGAATCCAGTAAATGTCATCAGAAAGCTGCTCCTTTTCTCACTTAGATGGCAGCAGCCTGAATCAATAGTCTCACTGGTCTTGTGTTCATTAATAATTCATATAACAGCTGATCCTCATTGTACTGTACTCGCAGATCTGTCAGTGTATTCTCCTTTGGGACTAGTACTGCCATTATCCTGTTTGTGTTTATGTGCATGTATGCGTTTGATTCCAGGAGAAATGTAGAGCCTCCCTGCAGTCGAGCCTGGTGGATGGCATTAGTTCAGCGCCTGAACTAATGCCATCCACCACAGGCTCCACTGCAGGGAGTTTTATAGCCAAACATCACACTGTGTCATTAATAGGTCTTACAACTCCAGCTGCACCAGCACTAGCTAATTCATTATTTAGCCTAATGTGTTTTTTAAGACTCATAACTTTTTAAGACTCACTGCTGTAAATAGAGCCTAAATCCCTGTTCATGTTCCCTTGAAGTTGTTTTATTACAGACTCCAAATCTGAATTTCCTATTGCCTTCTGCGTGGGTGTGTCTGTGTGTGCTTATAATGGCCTTAGTGGGGCAAACAAAGACCTGGCAGGAGACGTTGAAGGAGAAAGCGTGAGCTGCAGACTTTGAAGAAAGAGCCAGAATAGAAAGAGCAGCAGAACTGTAAAATTGGCTTGAGTTAGACAGTCTGTCTCAAATGCTAGGAGAGCTCCCAGCTCACTGAAGCTCGCGGACACAAACACAGCTTCACTATGACCACCCATCGCTAAGTAAGTGCACACTGAATCAGGCCTGCGATCAAGTCAAAGACGCCAAGACATTTCACATTATTTGCTGCTAATTTGTCAGTGGTATAATTTTTCATAAAACTGCAAATATATCCTTATAGCAAAATTGTTAACATCCTAATTTTGTTAGCAAATACATTTCACTCACATTAAATCACAGCAATTAGCTAAGAACAACGACCCAATGATGCAATCAATTCCTGATGGACAAAATCAAGTCCTTCCCTACATTTTTTTTCTCATTTCGAGAAGCCGCTTCACTTAAATACACTGTGCGGCCAAAAAAAAGTTGCTGTTTGAATTTAAATAGGCAAATGCTTTGACTCTGTTTGGATCATTATTGCAGTGATTATTATGTTTCTAGCATGTTATAAGTTTGGCAACAGTTCTTCTAACCCTATTGATGGATTGTGTAGTTTTCATTTCTTAAAACAAACGTGTAGGAAGACATATCATGGCCATATTCCATGACAATGTCAAGATGAATCAGGCTCAAATTGTGAAAGAATGGTTGGGAGGGAGCATGAAGAATCCTTTTCACACATGAACTGGCACCTCTGAGTCCAGACCTTCAATTAATTGAAAGTCTTTGGGATGTGCTGGAGTAGACTTTACAGAGTAAAGAAATAAATGTTGTGATGTTATTTCCATCAAGAGGTGCATCAATTTTTGTTCAAGATCTTGTACTGACAATGCAAGAGTCAGGCACTCTGTAAAGTCTCCTCTAGCACATCCCAAATACTTTCAGTGAATTTAAGGTCTGGACTCAGAGGTGCCAATTCATGTGTAAAAATGATTCTTCATGCTCTCTCCCAACCATTCTTTCAAAATCTTTGTTGACAGACAGCTAGTGCCCTGTGTGGCAATGTTAAGAATGCAACATTTCTTTATGTTGTGCCTTGAATTGCAGTCTGATACATTTTGGAATGCAGACAAATGTTATGTATGTATGATTTAGGTAGTAAATTAAAAATACATATTTTTTGGCGTAGATATTTGAGATAATCTGCTACTTTGGTCAAACATTTCCTTTTTTTATCCAAGAGTTAACCTCCCTTTTTCATCATGGCTTCCTGTTTCTATTCTTACACAAAGAAAATGCACTGTTATGAGATTGGGCAACCATCCAAAGACCAGATTCAAACAGCTCGCACTAGCATGATGCTCAATTCCTGCTATAGCGCTACATAGCTGAGAGCTGTGCAATCTGTATAATACAAACATAAACACACACACACCAACTCAGCGGCTTAGCTAAATTGTGATACCTTGTTTTTCTAGGTCATTGTCAAAAAATGATGTCACTTTCATGAGTCAACACTCCAGAGTACAGAAATTACCATGACCTAAACTAGCGAATGTTACGTTTTTGGATTTTAGGCACCTAAAGGATTTGAGATTTGCATTACTGCCAAAATTTCACTTCATGGTCTTATCAATCTTCTTTTATTTTATCTTCTTTTATTAAAATTGTATTCATTCATATTGGTCAGAGACAAAAAAACAAAACAAAAAAGAGATACTTAAAAACACAAAGAGGGGCTGAATAAGATGAATGACAGAAAGAGACAAGGGGAGATTCCTTTGTGTGTGTTTCTGCTACCCCCTTGCTTATTTTGTCGGACCCAGATATATCCCAAGAGTACAGAAAGGATTACAGTTCACATTTCCTTCAGGCAAAAGGCCTTCCCAGCGAGTAGTAAACTAAGTCCCCAGTGATTTATGCTTCTCATAATGTATCTGAATCTTCTCTTGGAGAAAAAGTCTGTGTTTATAAAGCAGACATCTGGAACCATGAGTACTGGCCCTTTTAATGCAGACAAGGTTTTCACCATTCACTACACAAAGGAAAGATTTTCACTTTGTGGTGGTATTACAGCATGCCAAATCACATTTAGCTCCTCAGAGAGGTGTGATGGTCTAAACACTTCTTTCTCTGTGTGGTGAAATCCTACGTTTCATTCTGTCTTTCTCCATATTAGGAGAGAACGCAGGTAGCAGCCCCTCCTCTATAACCAGAGGGGATGTCTCGGATAGTGTGTGTGTGTGTGTGTGTGTGTGTGTGTGTGTGTGTGTGTGTGTGTGTGTGTGTGTGTGTGTGTGTGTGTGTGTGTGTGTGTGTGTGTGTGTGTGTGTGTGACTTCCTGTTTCATGAATCAGCCTTTAGTCACTCCGCAGATCTAATGCTGATATCTCACATACTAGGCTAATAAACTGGCAGCACATACCCACATAAACACAATTTCCTGCTTTTGTGAAATAAACAATGTATTATGTTTATCTTTTATACATTAATGTTTTTCTCACATCCCTTATCTGCTGTTTTTTTTTCCAGAACTGATTCAGAAATATCTGATGAATAATGTGGAATTGATTTAAACATAGTAAAATGTGATATACAGAGCTGAGTAGCCTATTTATTGAGTCTATTAACATAGTCAGATTAGCAAAAACATTAATTTAATGTTAAAAAATAATAAATTAAATAATATGTGTACAATGCAAAATTCGAAGAATTAGAACTTGAAGGACAAGTGTTTTGTGGAAATTCAGCGGAAATCTTTTTGCAGGCATAACTTCCGTGTAGGTCTACTGAGAAGAGATAGATAGCCTACATAGTAATCCATATTTAGCATTACCTTGTTTAAACCACTTGTTGCATTTAGTAGGGACGCTAGGGACGTGTCCCTACCAATATCCAGTGACACTGATATATCCCTAGCAATAATTTCGATCAAAACTTAAAATATATTTATATATTGATGTCCCCGTCCCCACCAATTTCAATATCAAACCTACGCCATTAAGTTGTTGGTATAAAAAAGTAAATAAATCAAATAATAAATTAGGCCTAAGGTTGGTATTGGTCTATAAAATTAATGTCATGATTTAACAGCTCAATGTCTATCTTTGGAATTGGTCAACAAAAGAAGTTGGTTCGCATGAGAAATAAACGACGTCATGTCTCAAATAACTATAATAGGGCAGGCTAATAACAACCTGAAACTAAAAACACATGCGGTGGAATTATATTGTTGTGTAATATCAAAAGGTATCATCGGGGTGTTGTAAGTGGTCTTTCGTGTCCGGTGAGTCTCTTTAAAAGGCGTGGCGTAGATACTATTGGGTTTGTGTCCATCTTACTGCATACGCACGAGCTTATTTCACCGTCAGCGATCACGGAGGCGTCATCATACGCACGAGCGCTGTCCGTTTGAATCAGTGGGTTTACAGACGCGTATCCCTTCACACAGTTATAAGTCGAATGATTTGCATTTTAAAGCGTATTTAACCAAATGCTTATCTGAATTTGGATTTAACCCACTGAACCTTTATATGGACTGCGCGCTTTGCAGCATTTTATCCCACTGTATTTTCCCCGTAGTCAGATAGTTAGATTTCAAATTAAGACGAAATGGCAACGGACGAGCTGTCATCGAAGCTAAACCGTCGGCTGCAGATCGAGGACGGCGACCACGACGCGGTGGCTTTGGACGGGTCTCATGAGAATGGAGCTCACGAGAAACCGGCCACGGCCAGCGCGGATTCAGAGCTGGGAGCCAAACTGCAGCGGCGCGGGGAGCTGAACGAGGGCGTCGGTGGACATCAGCAGCCCAGCATGAAGGTGTTCAACCCCTACACAGAGTTCAAGGAGTTCTCGAGGAAGCAGATCAAAGACATGGAGAAGATGTTCAAAGAGTAAGTTACTCATACTGTCACCTGCAGTGCTGCTGCAGTAGATGTATGACATGTGCATGTCATATCTATCTATCTATCTATCTATCTATCTATCTATCTATCTATCTATCTATCTATCTAACTAAATTAATTGTCTGTCCATCCATTCATTTGTCCAATTAATTTACCCTAAATGCCCTAAAAGAAACATGTTGACAATTTTTCCTCTGGTTTAGTTTTAGGTAGCCTATTATTTTAAAATGAAAGTCCACATTTCAACATTATTTATTTATTTATTTAGTATGCTTTTAATAAGGTCTTTACTGATATTTCTGTCCCATTAAATCTTAACTGAATGTTTAAACAGGAACAAGCTGTCTAGTTTTTTTAATCTATGCTACTTTTGTCACTCTCTGTTTACTCCGTTCTGCAGCAAATGTTTTGGCTGAAACTCTTTCACACATCTAAGAAAGGACCATAACCTCAGCCCCACCCAAGTCTGTATCATTTATTCCACATGCTTTCACACATAGATATATGTAGGACTTTGAACCATGGGTTGAGAAAGTCCCTTAGGTCATGCTCAGGTTTCATTGCGTCTCTAACCAAAAGGCATGCCGTGCAGTCTAGACTGCCCAGTATGACACAATTCTGTAGCCACCTTGGCCGGATCCTTAGTGAGACTGCTCTCTTTATGGTTACTGAATGAAGGCAGTTTAAGAATTTTCCCCACGTTCGACTTGCAACTATTGTCAGAGCTTTTGTAAATGCTGTCTGCTGCATACAGGGTTGGCACAGGGCCTTTCATGTCAGGCTAATTTCACTGAAAGAAACAAAAGAAACTCCTCTGAGCCGAATGTTGGGAACTAGAGGCAGCTACGGGAAGCCGAATCTTCGTGAGAGTCGCTCTAGGAATGTGTCCCCTGTGCTCTCTGTGGTGGAGTGGTCAGTCCGAAGCTGTGACTGCAGGGTCGGTTTCACACAGGCCTCAGCGATGTGAGAAAGGGGGCTGGTTGAGAAACTAGTGCACTGAGGAAGTGATGGGTTCCTCTCCCCATTTCTGCTATCAAACAAAGCTACCATTGTTGTAAATTAGCCAAACCAGACCGCCCAAATCTGTGTGAGGAGCCCTTTGCATCTAGATGAGTTGGCTTGTGTAGCATTTTTCGTACACAAATGAATTTCATTTATCAGAATGTGATATTTTTCACAGATTCTTGTTTTTATTATTATTTATATACTATTATAGTATTTATTCGTATTTTGAATTAGCTTTAAAAAATTGTTTTGTTTTAATTTGAGTAAATTTGTTATGGCCTTTTGTTATTTTTTTTATATTTCTATATGGCTTTATTTTTTATTTAAGGTTTAGTTAACAATAAGCACATTGATTCGGATACTTCAGCCAAAAATGAAAATTGTCATTTACTCACCCTAATGTCATTCCAAACCTGTATGACTTTCTTCTATGGAACACAAAAGAAGATATTTTGAAAAGTGTCTCAGTATTTAATTTATTTTTTTTGTCCACACAATGAAAGTCACTTTGTCCAAACCAACATTGGACCCCATGGACAATAACGACTTCTTTTCAAAATATAATCTTTTGTGTCCTGTCCTGCGGAAGGAAGAATGTCTTACAGGTTTGGAATAACATGAGGGTGAGTAAATGATGACCAAAATTTAGTTTCTAGTTGAACTGTCTCTTTAAATAATTGATTTAGAATAATCTGCATTAGAGAACAATTCATTATGGCTGTTCAACTGGTTAATCTAGTTGCAAAATAGATGTGATACCAGTCTATCGCAATGGTTTCATTACCTCTAGATAACCACATGGGTGTTACAAAAGTAGATAAAGGCTTGCTGGAGCTTTTTCTTCTGCTAAATAATTGTTAATAGACTATTGTTTCAGAGTATCACCTTTTCTATTGTGTCTGTAAACGAGTTCTTTGTGCAGCCAAACGCCGAGTTCACTTTGCAAGACCTCGCCCAGGGTGAGATATAGCACTAGTTTCATTCGGTTTCTTTGATGATGTAGCCCTTGGCTTTATATGGGCTGAATGAGACAGGTTTCATATTTAGGAGAGTGTGAAGTGTGCATAACTCCCTTTGTCACAGAGGAAACAAAGCCTCAGGTTACTTCACAGGTTAAACATTAGCTAGGGGATTTCATGGTCTATTCCCCTTTAAGAATCTTTGTGAATTTAGTTGCTTCTCCATGTTGTTTAGCTCCATACATGTTTATGGCAACAGAGGATTGTGCACCTCTTCAATTGATTTATTACTTTCCAGCTATATAATAGATGTTTGTGCTGTTACCTGAAGCCCTGAATATAGATAACGAAACATGGATTAGACATGGCCGGTGAGGAGGCAGGTTGGGAACGCTTTATGTGCCTGTATGCAGTCATAAGAACTCATTGATTATCTCATAACTATGACCTTCCAAACTAATACTGATATTCTTAGCTTTGCATCACATACTGTAGGCACATTCAGTACTCGATAAACGCTCAAAAGCTTCCGTTGCTGTGAATGTTACTTTCTAACTGCTTTTGTGCAGAGGGAGGCAAAAAAACACAGGGAGAGAGAAAGAACTGCGTAACAGCCATAGACTGGCCAGAGTCCAGCTGATAAGAGGAATGCAGGCTTTGCCTTGCCCTCAGGCCACTTTTCAGAGGGATTCAAAACTTTTGGTTCAGGACCAGCATTCAAACCCATTATTTCTGGGTGGTTTTTGTAGGGAATCTTAATGTGAAACTGTTAAAACTTTGCGTAGGTCATTTATCTTTCATGGTATGGTTGTTAAGTAGTGATTTGCATATTTTCTATTTTTATCAGAAAAAAAAACCTGCACTAACCCAGATGTTTTACATATCTGTGGTAATTGATAATAATGTGTACAAATGCATGTATTGTTCACGGTTAGCTAAGTACACTAAAATACTTGTTGGAGCTGTCCAATGCACCTGCTTTGTTTAAAGGTACAAGGAATTGAACCTGAAACCTCTGTGGTTGTTTCTTTTTAGGTGTCAACATCTGCAAAGTTCATAAAAGAACATAACCCTGTCTTAAGATTGATTTTGAGCAGATGCAAGTTTAGCATTGAGGATTATTCACAAGAGGAATTCATTCATGTCTGAACATGTCTTTTGAAGTTTCTGTGTATTTTCACCTCACCAAGAATTTTTTTGTTTACATCAGATACAGCAATCAAACACCCATCTGACTAAAATTGATATATTTACTAGGGATGCACAATATATCAGTACCATATAGGTTATTGGCTGCTTTCGTTTTTCAGCATTAGTTTGTATTAAATAAATATATATCTGATTATATTGGATAATTAATTGTTCATGCTCATTTCCCCCTTTTTTCATTACTTTCTTTTATCTAACCTTTTTAAAACACTAATAATTTAATACCATTACCATATTGGGAAATGTCAGAGAGAGAGAGAGATTTATTTTGTATAGAGAGAGAGAGAATGCACATGTTGTCACAGTAAATGGGAGTCACTGCGATTATACCCACTGAGTGGCAAAAACTGAGTGACAGCGTTGGTGTTAAAGGTATAGCGGAGGATCTTTCCGAATTTTAGAGAAGACCCGCCCTCTCCAATTTTTTAAAAAATGCACATGCGCAACACTCTATTTGCATGACTTGTGCCAGGGCTAGCATCGCTAATCATAGCTTACATTAACTTTTACTAGCAGTGATTTTAAATGGATTTCTCCAAATAGCATGACAAACTTTACCTGTCTAGTAGAATCTTCGCGACTGCGGCATCAGTGGGAAGCCCAACCTGTGCTTTTAGCGCACGCCAGCGTGTGAAATATTCACCCAAAATCACTCTGGTCTTGTTTCTATATTCTGCGGCCTTTCTCTTCTTATCATACACTTCGTATACATTTTTTCTCTTTCGACCCTCAGCCATTTTCAAAGGAATGGCTGAAACCGTAACTCATCACACATAATACACCTGAAAGTGCACATGCGCAGAAAGCGAAAACTACATAGGGACGAGCCCGTACGACGGCCTTACGTAAACATATCACCAGAATGAATGACACTTAGGTGGACCAATAGTATAGACTACCCACCCGGAAAAAGAAAATCCTCCGCTATACCTTTAAGTTTGAATGCAGAGAACACAAAAAACATCTTAAATGGATTGCTGCAATTCGCAGAAACTACTGGAATCCAGGCAGTGAAACGTGGATTTGCAGTTACAATTTTGTGTATGTTGAATTTGGGGGTAAAATAATACACTTGGTTATATATTGTATTGACAACTCATCTTATATTCTGCGTAACTAGTTTTTGCCAGCATTTATTAAAAAACATCCATTATGATGATGAGTAATACAAGTTTAAACAAAATATATTGAAACAACCAGTTGGATATCAATGGATATATTGAATATCCATTGATTTCCTCGTCACTTTAATTTAGCCAAAAAATGCTTTGGCACTCACTAGCTGAGGGGGCACGTGCCAGCAGGAAAGTGACATCAGTGCATAGCCTCATTGACTAATTTTGAATATTTAATGTATATGCACATTTCCCCTTTTTTACATTTTGATTACCGTTGTCTAATCTTTAAAAACACCTATAAATAAACACAAATCTCAATATGAATTCATTTTTCACACTATCGATTATAATGTTGAAATGCAAAAATTTGATTTTGAGGATTGATTTTTATCAGTAAATGGAAATCCATTCCACTTCTGCATGCAGTTGTATGATATTTTAAGGGGCAGCTATCTTAGATGCTTCAAACAGATGAACTCCAACCCTACTTATCCCCCCGCTCATTGGTAATACTGTCTCTGATCATGTGAATGGCAGGTTGCCCGAATTGGCTGAGAGATTATGTGTGCAGGCCCCATGCTGTGCCTACATATGAGCGAGAAGCTTTAGCCCTATGAGGCGTGTTCCTGCGGAGTCGCCTCCAGTAATGAAGGAAGCAGAAGATAACTCTGTGCTCTTCCTACACTTTTCTCCAGGC